GACAGCCTTTCTGAGAGAAGGGGCCTCCTTGGCAGGCAACAATGGCTGGCGAGGGCCACAGCGGAGCGCAGTGTGGCACGGGGTGGCTTGACAACTTGCAGCTGGCTTCCCAGCCAGAGGGCGGTTCTGAAGCTCCTCTGTCCTCCCACCTACAGGTGTCTTGGTGACCTCTTGCGAGTCCAGCTTTATGGGTCTGGTGTTGAATCAACAGGTAGGATGCTGCATGGATGGCACCTGTGCAGGGCCTGGCTAGGTCAGGATCCGCGTTCTTGGTAGTGGTGGTGCAGGAGCATGGTGCCAGACCCAGCATCACCTCTGGCAGGAGGTGCTTGTCCCAGCATGTGGAGCTCTGCACCACACTAAGGTTGGTTGGAGCAGGGTTTGGCCTCAGCTCTACGTCCTTCCCAACTGTCTAGGTGACAGTTAAACGGGCTGGGAACTGGGAAGCTTCTCCAATCCTGCTTTCAGGGAAGAGATCTGTGCTAGTTGTGTAGATGGGTAGCCAAAGGCCAGGCTGCTGCCGAGGTCACTGTTCACCACAGATGTGTGACGTACCAAGCTCTTGGCATTCTTTGTTTTCACCCTCTGCTGCCTCCCGTCCTCTTCCAGCCTGGTGGAGAGGCTGAGCTCTGCTGCTGGGGATTCGGGGAGCTGGAGGATGAGCAGCCCAAGAAAATGTTTGGCTTGCCCTGACTGCTAACCTGGCTCAGCCTGCTGGGACAAGGGAAGGAATGTCTGGAGGATGCTGTCTCCAGATCCATGTGTCTTTCCATGCCAGAGAGTCTCCTGCCAGAAGTGGAGGTGCTCCAGAAGATCAGGTTGCTCTCTCTTATCGGGAGAGGTGCACAGTTCCTGGAGCTGGGAAGGCACAAGGAAGCCTTGTTGGATTTCCAGCACGGTTTGCAGATCTCACCAGGTACGAGGCTCGTTTTGGTGAGGAACAGAAGGGCTTTCCACAAATTTGTCCTGAGATGCTTTGCTGTCTTCAGCAGAAAGGCCTTATACTTTAGACTACGCTTATTCGGATATCAAGGACTGCAGCAGGGCTGCCAGAAGTGTTTGTTACGTACTTGAAATGCTTCTCTGCGGCCTGGTCAGCTCACTGCCCTGGAAAAGAACAACAAAACTATTGTCAGAGGAGTATATCAGAACCCTGCCCACAACCTGTCCCCTGAGACAGCTTGGAGATTTCTCTTCTTCCTGCCCAAGCCCTGGTACAAGCCTGGTACAGCCAGCTTTCTCACAGAGAGGGATCTGCGTTCTTGGAACAGCAGCTGGACTCTCGCTTCATCTTAGAAAGCAGCATGTCCGTGCCTGGCAGTCCTGAGGCTGAGTATGGAGGCCTGTTGGAGCAGGGAGCCGTACGTGTCGTGTCCCGAGCACGGCCAAGGCCTGGCTGGTGCTTCTCCCAGGGGCAACCCTGTTCAGTGCTCCAGCTATGTTGACATGCTGCAGGGGTGTGAGCTTCACAGGATCTGCCAAACCTGGTGGTCCCAGTCCTGATCCCAGGCTCCCTCCCTTCAGGGCTGCAGACCTGCCTGCAAGGAAAGCCCCAGCCTGTGTCAAAACAGAGGTGTGGCTGGCTGTGCCACAGCACTGATGCCATCTCCCTTGGCTGTTGCCCTGGTGTTAATTAGAGCCTGTGACACAGCCGGGATGGTCTCCTCCCCATTACACCACTTCTCCTCACACTTGCCTCCCTCATCTGGCTTCCAAGGTTTTGCAATGCCCTGCAACCTGCAGCAGTGCTGAGGACCTGCTCTTCCTGTGTTCAGGGCTGAATCCTCTTCATGTCTTGCAGATGACCCAGCTGCTGCCTCCTACCTGGTGCAGGCCTTGTGGAAGCTGAACAGAAAGCAGGAGGCGGCTGCTCACTGGCAGAAGTTCTCCCAGAGCCCTCCTGGGGAGGACGGGCAGCAGAAGGCGCAAGGAAGGTGTGTAGAGGGATGAGTGGGATCTCCACTGGCCACACAAGAAAGCTCCAGCAGCACAGCCTGTGTTTAAGCTGTGTGGACACTTTAGCTCAACTCCTGCTAGCCTGTACCCACAGCTCAGATGTGTCTGATGAGCTTACCCCCACGTCTGCTCTGAGAGACCGTGGGCTGTGCCTCTGCAGGGACTCCCCGGGAACAAAAGAGCTGACAGGGAGCCAAACGGGAGGGCAGAGGCTGGAGGCAGAGCTGGGGGCTCTGCACAGCTTGTGGAGATCGAACCTCCTCGTCAGACCATGGCAAGGGAATGCAGCAGTCCTTGCTGATGCCATGCTCTCTTCTCTTTCAGGCCCTTCCCTTTGTACCTGGTTTCGTGTCTGAAGCAGGCGATGTTCCCAGACAGTGCATCTCTTGGGGGAAGCATACAGGATTACCTCGGGACCACAAGCCGGGACATCTCAAGCTAACACAGTCAGTCTCCCCATCCCTACCTGCTGAAGCCTTCCTGCACCGAGCTGGCACGAAGCCTTTAGAAACTCCACCAAGACTCAGAATTCCTCTTGTATAAAGCTGGATTCCCAAAGGACGGAAACTTTTCTTGGATCTCCTTTTCTAATAAAAGCCTCATCTCTATTTAGTCCAAGTTTACCGTGCCCTTTTTTCAGAGCAAACCTTTGCAACCATGGCCTCGACACTGCCTGGAGCTGCTGTGTGCCCATGGCCTGTGCCCTGAGTGCGTCGGAGATCCAGGGCAGAGAGGTCCTCATCACCTGCATGTGCAGCGTGGCCAGCTCTGAGCTCGAGGGAGTTGGTGGCAGAGCCAGGCGGTCTCATAGAGCAAAGGGTTGTCAGATCGCCTGTCCTACATGTGCTTGGTACGCCGGCTTTGTGCTCCATCACCACAGTTTGGAGCCAGTGTTAAAGCAGAGGCCGCTGCCCGTGCATTCGCACACCACTCAAGGAGTCACTTCATCTCAGACTTCAACTGCAAGGACTGAAGTCCCTGCACAGTGGTGACTCCGGTGAGCCGACTGGTGCCCCATTGGGCTCCGTCTCCTCGCTCGAACACATGCACCCTCGGGCACTTCCTCTTCTTTCAGGCTCGGCCCTGGGTTTCTGTGGCAGAGTTTCAGGCATCAAATCTTAAAAATACAATTTATTCAGGTGGTACAGCTGGTAAAACAGCTCGAGCTGGGTGCCTCCAGAGAGGGAGCCCGGACAAAGAGATCCCTGGACAATCACACCCTGACACCTGTGCACCTGCCCCTCGGGCGCTCTTCACACGCTGTTTTGGTCCAATGGTTTCTGGTCTGGGGTCTTCTAATGCTTCATTGGAGTCTTTCTCTGCTATTAACTGGTGTTACCTGGCTGAGCTGCAGCTTCTGCTGGTGGTTGTAGCTTCTTTTCTCTCCTGGTTTGTGCTTCTGGCACCAGCAGAAAGTGGGAAACACTGAAAAGGTCCTAGACGTAGGATAAACTCTACTGAGCAACAGCCAAAACATCAGTGTGTTGTCTACATCATTCTCTACTAAATCCAAAACACAGCACTGTACCAGCTACTAAGAAGAAAATTAACTCTGTCCTGGCTAAAAGCACATCTCAGGAAAAGTTCACAGCTTGGGACCTTCAGCAAATCTCGCTACTTACGTGAAGCGATGGATCCCGTTTGAGCTAGAAAATAACTACACCACTGGAGAAGTGGTTTTGGCTGAAGCGTGCAGCTCTGGGGTCTGAATCCCACCGCGCTGCACTCGCCAGGGATGGCAGCAGGGTCTGTGCCTGCGTGTCCAGTGTGTCCCGGGGGGTCTTATGCCCACCGCACTCCGTGGCTCTGGGCCTCTCTCTGACAGTGAGCAGGTGTGAAGGGTACCTGCTCCTGCCCAGTGCTTGCTGCAGCTGGTTTTGGGTGAGCAAAGTCCCAGGACCAGGTAAGCCCAGCCTCTGGCAAGACTTGCCTCCCACGAGAGGGAAGAAACAGCTGGAAGCTGCGA